TCTACATGCCTAAATGCACTGAGTTGCCGCCATGTGATTGGCTGCTTAGAAATTAAGTGTTAACGAGCAGTTGGACAGGTGTACCTAATAAATTGGCCGGTGAGTGTATATTTTAATCAGTTTCTGTTTTCATTCCAATCCAAACCAATTTATTTCTAAGATATATTTAGTATCTTATATTTAAGATACATTATAGGCTAGCCTGGGCTATCACGAGTTCATTATTGGTGTGGCTTCGCTCTCTCCCTCCCCTGACTCTTTTCTTACTCTTTCTAAAACATCCTCTCCTCTGTCCTGCTCTCTGTGTGAGATGTCCAGTTAGTCCTCTGCCTCGTTCAGTGGTAATGTAATGTAATATAGTATTTTTTTTTTTGAAAGTGAGGGTGTCAGAGTTATAATCCTGGTTTCGAGCTGTTGAACATCCAGGAACTGATCTAGGCCTAATTATTAACTTCCCGGAGCCACCAAGACCAAGGACACTTCCAGTTAGTGGTCCTCCAAAAATTTCTAAGCAGCCAGGCAATGGGTAATTATATGCCAAAAGCATAGCTCTAGATCTTTGCCCACTGGTCACCACCAATCCTTCCATGTTTCTAACCAATTTTCCCTATAGTGACACACCAAATGGGAGCCCCATTCTGGTCATTGGCAGCTCCATAGAACTGTGGCATTAAAGACACCAGGGACCATAGTCAAATGTTTGCCGGGGACAAGAATGGGCGACATCAATTCCTACCTGAAACTGCTTGCTACAGATAAAGCTACAAAAAAGCAGCAAGAGCAGCAAAAATGTGCATGCTGCTTCATTTTTGATGCTTGTACAAGTTTAGTTCTTATGTGCAAGTTTAGTTCTGCGCAGCTGAAGCAGCAAAGCAGACATCCCAAGTTCCGGGAGATTGTCATTCACCATTTGCCATTGAACTTCTAGCTAAAGAAAAAACACGTAATTATGTAGCTAACATTTGGAAGAAGAATGTTTTCAGGATGACTAATTACGCATTGTGACAAACACCAGATACAGCATTGGGACTTGATCAACAGCCGATACCGCACCCTGACATCACAAACCAGTAGGTGGCAGTAGTGTTCTTTGACAAACATTGATGCCAACAGTAAACACATTCAAATGAAATTACTCTTAATTAAAAAGACATCATTTTTTGAACAGTATGTTACTACCAGGGAATAACTACCAGGGAATTTGGAAAACTACCCAAAGTAGTCAGGTGGTACTGCTCAGTAGAGAGGCCCTGTACATCATTATCATTACAGCTCCTCCTTCAATGAAGCTTTGTGGAAATTGCCCCTCCTCTACTGGACACAAGCCTAGTGTTAGGGTTCCAGTTTGTGGGGATTGGTTTTGTTCTCTCTCAGTTCCTCCGTGCATCCACCAGATGGTGCCATTGTTCTCTGCTGGTCTGGAGGGCTTTGTGTTCTTCTCTACCTCTCACACCTGCAGCTTATTTGGTCATCACTTCCGGAGGAGTATTTAAGCAGCAGAATGTCTTCACTTCCTCGCTTCCTCGGTACTCTAGCCCCTCAGAGTTTTGCTGAGTCATTTTAGTTTCTTTTGAGTTCTCAAGCTTTAACCAAGTTTCTCTTTGTGATTCTCCGCCAGGATATCTACGGATCCACTGGATGAGCCAGGTCCTTCTAGCCTTGGAAGGAACGCTCTTGTCACACTAAGAAAAGGAGTCAGTACTCCTTATCTGAACGCCGTTCATGTCAGGAACAAAGTGACAGTCTGCTCCGCGAAGTACACTTCGCTGCAGCAAACAGAAAGGGGCGGGGACGGACCACTGTCAGTCTCATACCTTATATGGAAATGGGACCATTTCATTCCGGAACTGACGGGGGCGCTAGTGACACTATTTCCTGTACCGACCGTTTCATAATAATTATAATAATAATAATAACGTATTTTATTTGACA